AAGACAACTCCCAGGCAAACACGCAAAATTGAGATATTTTTAAACTGTCTGCACCGACCGCTTTCAGAATCTCACGCACAAGCTCCGTGTTCGTGCCTGGTGCGATGCTGCGGCACGACCTCTAAAGCTGCCGTCACTGGGCGAGGGATGTCGGGGATCCTTTGCTCCGTTGCCCTGGGAAGGCCGTGGCGCCGTGGGGCAGAGGCTCCGGGGGGAGCTGGGAGGGGGCAGCCTGGCCCCTGGCAGCAGGAGGAGGGCTACGGGGGGGCTGTGGCCGGGGCTGGAGCCGGGGAGCAACCTTGTCAATATCAGAAAAACCGTCTGTAAATCAGGTTTCAGAGGAAGTTTTAAAGAGCTTAGGCTAAGGTTTGTCTGAGCGCAGAATTATGCAAAACGAGTCAAATGGAAAATAAAGTTACCAGTGTTCCGACGTGAGTAAGGGCCCTGGCAGGCAGCAAACCTGAGAATGACCTCCTTGATTCCCAAACAGGTCCACTCTGTGTCTCGCCTTTTCCCTCCTCCAGTCCAACCTTTATTAAGGCTCCAAAAATATTTGACCAAGTGCTGATTCTAGGTGAAAAAGGGCAGAAGAAAGGGGCTGAAAATTGAGAGGCATTGTCCCGGTGCGTCGGGGCTGGTGAACATTTTTAAGATGGTGTAGGGCACCCACCACGTGCTGTGCAAACCCACTCCTGTTCCAACAGGAGGACTCGGAAAGTTTTCGCCAGCAGAGGAAGGACGTATGGAACATATGGACAGAATACAAAGTGTTTAGTTAAACACAGCGTTTTGTTAAAAACAGAGGAAAACACTGACAGTGTGATAATGAATATGTAAATTTTTTAACATGCTTCAAAAAGCTAGAACATTGTTCCCTCCTTCCCCTTGAAATGTATTTTGATAATTTCCAAGCAGACGGCAGAGAAAAGGAAATTATATCAATCCCTTTGGGGAGAATGTGACATTCTGACTTCTTGAAGCCTGCAAAGAGGTTTATAAACTTAAAAAATGAAAAAGACTAATTTAATCTTTCCAGACTTGTCAAACTTGTCTCAATTAATTTTTGATGACATAATTAGAGCTTACCACTTTAACGTGCACTTTTTTAGTTTACTTTTCAAAAGATTTTATTTTTAAAGACTCGGAGGAAAACGGAGGGCTTTGCGGTGGGAACCGGAGCAGGAAGAAGGGGAGGACTGTGTAGGTTCAACTGCTGATTCAGAGTGCTCTATTAAGCCAAGAGAGATGAACTCATTTTTTTCCTCCCTTGGGGAATCAAACAAGAAACAGGAAGTCATTGATTCTAAGTAAGATCATTCACTCCGCAATTGTAAACAGTGTATTATGTGCCTGTAAATATTTCCAGAACCCATTGGCTTGTTGGAAAATATGAACTAAATTATTATAATCTCAAACAAACAACCCACAATAAAAAGAGGGTTTTTTCCAAACTCTTTATCTGCAGTATTTATATAGTGGAATATTAATTAGCTTGGACATTGAGAAACTACTTGGCTGGACGCATTGTTCGCTGCCAGAAGTCCATCTACTCAAATGTTTTGTCTGCTGAAAGACAAATATTTCTAACTCCACCCTGTAATATTGCGCCCTACGAAAAAGCAAAAATTCTTTCACTACTCTATCCATTTGTGTTTTCACTACCACAAATGTCCTACTGTGAACCAGATGTTGGCTGATTTCATCTCTGTCTTATGTAGCTGTAATCAGGCAAAAAAGGAAAAACCTTATAAAAAGTCCTAAATAGACAGTCTAACAGGAACTTGCTGTTGCTCATTGCTTCGGAGGGCAGAATCTGGACTGTCTGCTCAGATCAGTCTGCAGCTGAAACTTTGGCTTCCTCTGTGAAGCAGGAGAAGCTGCTGCTTGGAAGTGCCACCTTTCCCCCAGGAACATGGAGTCTCTGCACGGGAAGAGAGGAGCGCGGGTTAGAGAGAGGACAGCGGTGTACAGCCTGCGTCCCTGACAGTCCAGAATGTTTTCCGCCAGGCTTAAAAGGGGGGTAAATGGTAAGACCCCAGTCACCCAGAAGGCTCGCACCAGAAAGGACTGCTTAAAGTTTAATATTGCTTACAGTTTAGAATGAGTGCTTAAAGTTTAGAATTTGGGTGTTGTAGGATTGGCTCAGGAAACTATTTTAATGACGCGCTTAAATCCCAACAATTCCATAGGGATTCCGGAATGGAGGATTCCTAAACAGGGATGGTTGTAACCTCGGGCTTAACAGCCTGCGAGACCAAGAGGAAGAGAGAGTCAAAAATGCAGCATTTACCTTCAGGCAAGTGATTGCGGTGATCCTCTTCTTCCTTCTGACTTAGAATATGGAACGAAAGGAAGAAGAACTTAGGGGATGTGATAGGACAGAAAGTTTTGAGACAGGGACAGCTGACAGGTTTTCACCTAAGCAGCTATGATGAACTTGAGAGTAATTTGAGACATTGAAAATTTAGAAAAGAACTAGAAAATATTAATGTGTCACAGAAAAGTTAAGGACTTTTTTGAATCCTACTCCATGACTTTGATCTTTCTTGGGATCCTTTGCCTTTTTTCCTCCTGGTGTCAGGAACAGCATAAAAGATAATATCATAGGTCCTTCCCATAGAGCTGATGAGAGCCTAGGGAAGAAGGGGAACAGGGTCTGCCTTCTCCAACAGCGGGAGGAAGGAGAGCGCTTGAACCCAGGCTTCTGAAGGGCTGGAGTTGTCATGGAGAGAGGGGCTCTCAGAGATGTCGCTTATTAATCCATGATAACTGGGTCAGGAGTTGCAGTATGGAGATCTGTATTATGCATGATTTTCCTGGGCCAGCCTCCATCATCACATTAAAAACAGTCACTGCTTGCCTTTCCTTCTTGGTGTCTCAGTGTCCGTGACAAAGGTGACGACCATGCAGCATAACCTTGCAACTGGTCATTTTTTGTTTCTTGTAATCTTCCAGCTGCCTTCCACTGAACGATGTTTTTACGGCCGTTTGTTTTCTTGGAGATAAACTGAATACTTAGGGGGAATTCAAGCTTTGTTTTCAAAGCCAAACCTATGTGTTCTGAGCCCTCCAAAGGCCAGGGCCTTGGCTTGCAAGGGAACTTCTTGGACTGAACGGTTACATTCACCCATCCACTTACTCTCTGTTAAGCTGTCTACAAATAGTTGGAATACAAGAGAGCCCAGTCCTTCTGCTTACACACAGATGATTTTCTTGGCTTCTGAGACTCAAACAATGATGAGCCAGCTCCCATCCCGAATAGTTTTTCCAGCAGTGCTTGTCCAAAAGGGCCCTATGCTTAACTTCCAGAAGGCACAAGCAGTTACATGGAGATAAAAGCACAGATTTGAACCCAAAACATGCATGAACAGGGATGTCCCGAAATCTGCAACCGCTCATGTAAAGGGATTGTTTTTCATGTAGGAGATCTGTTAGGCATCATTTGCTCACCTGCCTTTACATTTGGAACCATAAACTTCTCCTCACATTAAGGATATTAAATTTTAAAGGCAATTTGGTTAAGCATAAGAATTTTAAAACACTTTCCGAAGAGTTATCTGCCAAACATGAAATTTGCGTAAAACAAAATGTGCTAACTCACAAGTAGTTCGACCTATATGAGGCATTTTTTTTTAGCAAAAGCTCAGTTCTCTACAAGCCTCTTCTATGTAAGAAAGGATATATGCAGTAACTGAAGATTAAAATGTGTGGTGTGTCCCTGCTTATCAAAGAAAACACATTGCAGCCCCAAAATAATTGAAGAAATTAAATGATGGTAAACCTAAATATTATCAACACAGATTTCAGAAATCTCCCTGTTACGATAAGGACCTTTGAGGAATAATCTACTTTACTAAGTTTCATAAAGCTGTAAACATACAAAATCTGGGGGTACTCTTGATATTTATATAAAGTTAGTATGTATATTTTTTAAAACGTCAGACACTAAATACAGACTCAGTTTGACGTGGGGACTTTTTCCCTTTCTTTTTCCAGCATAAATATGGCTGAACTTTCAGAGCCAGAAGGTAGTGTAAACTGGAAGGAAAGATGTTTAACTCTGGAGTCACAGTTAATGAAATTCCGTCTCCAGGCAAGCAAGATCAGAGAACTGTTAGCAGAAAAGGTAGGTCTCATGGTATGAATTCTAATGTTGTATAAATGATTTTATTTGATGATGGGGGCTGATTACATGTCATGGTTTGAGATTACAAGTACTGGTATTTTTTTTTCAGGAGGGAAAAATCCCATTTAAAAAAAAATATATGGAAAACGGGCATGCTTTAATGCTGTGAAAGAATTTCACACATTAGATTTGCCAGCAGGAAATGTTCATTTTCAAGTAAGAACACACAAGCAATATTCCTGCAGAGAAAAATATGTATCCAGTAATCATTTTTACAACATTGCAGTTAGTATTTAACACATTTTCCTAAATATTTAAGATGTGATTTAAGAGACAGAAATCACTGGGGAGAAAATCCAGAAATACTATTTTCCCCAGTATTGCTTACTGAATCATATGATTTGCCAGACTTGCTTTTCCTACAATAAGACTTCTCCAACTATCATCTGAACCTAGGGGCCCAGGAAGTTGAAAAGTCTTATATAATTTAATTTGAACAATATTGTTTAAATAAATAGTTTCTTTTGCAATAGAGAAACATTTCATTGACATATTCAAATACGTGTATCCAAACAGTCAACTGTAATTGAGCCTGTAAAACATCGTTGTATTTACCTGGTAACATTTTGACAGAACAAGGCATTTAAAAGAGTACGGGGGACAAAAGATTTTAGAGAATCATTGGAACTATGTTATCCTTAATATTCACTTCAGTGAATTTCTAGTTAAAAAGTTATTTTCTCAGAGCTTCTCTGTTCTTTCTAGAGCTAAATTTTCCATCAGTTGCTCCTCCCAAAAAGGAAAAATGTAGATAATTTTAAGTTACAGTGATGATAGTTTTATCTGATATATTTATGTTAGTGCTTTTCTTCTGTGACTTTGTCCATTCTTCTTTTGAAGCCATAAGTACATTTCGCCCTCTCTGAATCATCCCCATTTTTACTATATTTTTGTGGGGATGGGAATTAAATAGTATTAAAGCAAGAAGAAACATATATTTTTGTATTTATGAGGAAGCATGGATGATATACAAAGTTATGCACTCTGGACCTTTCCTAATAATGCTTAACATTTTGTTTTCTTTGACAGCTAAATTAACCAGGGAGAATGTTTTCATTGAGCTATATACCTTAATTGTAGGATCTTACTCAAAGTCCTTTAGATTTCTATCTTACGTGTCATTTGTTATGTTATTGGTAGGTCACTAAATCTTCTAAGGACCTTCGTCAGAAAGCTTCTGTTATTCATAATAACAAAATACCATCAGGCAACTTGGTTGTTTCACTGCCTGGTGCCCATTACCAAATGTCTACATCGAACAGCACGGTCCCTGAACAAACCACTGCAGATCACTGATAGCTGCCGGTCACTGTGGGAAGTAATCAATAACCTATAACTTCTATGGCATTGTTTTTTTAATTCCTGGAGGGATATTCCCTCTTACCCCGTGTCTTGTTTGTTTCCTTTAGAAACTTTCCAAAATCCAGATAATTATATAAATGAGATCCTCTCTATCTGCAGCCGTGGTGATCCCCTCAAAGAACTTTACTATCCTTGCAAGGCAATACCCCTCTTCATAAAGGCCACTTTGACTCTTCCCTTGTCTGTCACACTTATCCACGTGCCCCTTAATTCTGGTCTTATAGTTGTCACCAGTTTGCTTACTACAGACATCAGGCTTACAGATCAATAGTTGGTTCAACTTTACCACCCAGTTCTTGACTGAGTATCATTTGGCAATTGGTTATTATTCATTTTATCTATTGGTGCCTTTATCTCTTTTATGGAGGTATAAAAATTTGAGATGGAAAAAAAAATGGAATAAAGAAATTTAATACTTTCTGGATTAGACTTTTTTCACTAAGTAGATCTTTTTTATTAAAGCGAATATGAATATTTACAGTAAGGTAACATAATTTAAAAATACTGATTCTGCTGGAATTCTGTCTTTACAGTTAATATTCCAAATAGCTCTGCTTTGGCATGACTAAAAATACTGCTGTTAGAAATGAGCGTAGTTGAAAAATCATTATTGTTTACCGTGTCCTGCAAATTTCCTGTATGGCAAGCTCTCACTGAACAAGTATGGCAGAATACTGGGTTTTGAAAGAACGACCAGCTGTACAAATGCCACCCTTTGAAATTTCATTCTAAAATTAACAAAAAAAAAAAAAAGGAAGACTGCTTGTGTCCTTCATGCCAGGTAGCAAAACCCACAGGTGAGTTAGTAAATCATTATCATCAGTCCTGGAGGAGAGCGTCCATCAGAGAGTATAATGCTGGCTGCTGTAACACTCAGCACGTTACTCACGCTCTGGGGGCTGTTGGATATCCTGTAGCTCTTCTGTCTCTTTATCCCATTTGGATCATTGCCGCTTGGGATGGAAGTCAAATGGCTAAAGGCTGGACATGACTTTTCTAGGGACTTTCCAGCAGCCATAACTACCATGTTTTATGCAGCTGTTGCTGATTATAGTTTTGGCAACCAAAAAAGTTAAGGTTTGTGAACGCACTTTACAAAGCTACCTGAGTTAAAAAAAATAAAAAATATTTTAGAAGTTTGAATGATTTCTATATGACTTTTCACTTTGTTCCTTTGCAATTTGTATTTACAGGCTCTTAACTGCCAGAAATGTTGTCTTAAATGAATAGAAAAGCATGCATAATCATATACCGGTTAGCTCAGTGGTTTGAGTGCGGTGCTGGCAGCAAGGACCAACACCAAGGTCGCGGGTTCGATTCCCGCTCGGTCCCCATGTGTTGCCAGGTCTAGTCGAGAGGTGGCGTCCCTGCCCAAAACAGGGAGGTTGGACTAGATGATCTCTAAGGTCCCTTCCAGCCTAGGCCATTCTGTGATTCTGTGATATCATTTAGAAGTCGGCATTTAAAAAGAAAGAAGTTATCTTATTCAATAGTGCCCCTGCAAATAAATTAACTATCAACATGGCCAGTCTTCAGTATATTTTTCTAACTGATGCATTCTAATTTAGGAAAAAAACCCCAACTATTTACTGGGCTTTGTAAGTCTAGCAAGTACTCATCCTTGAACCTTAGTGGTTGAGGAGTTTGAAAAATTTACATTTTAAGTGTGTTTCAGCACACAGTACAGCAACCATAACTTAGGTTTTTTAGTGAACCTGGGGAGAAGAAGAGAGAGGAGCCAAGAAATATACAATGCTTCCAGAAAACTAATCCATTTACTTGTTGTTTATTTGTTTGAGGGTTTATCTGTTTTCATTTTGCTAAGTAAAGAGTCTATATTTATAAATCTAACATGCAAAGAAAGAGACCTTGTTGGAGTTTTAAGCAGAAGCTGCTGCTGCTGCTGTAAGTGGGAGAGGTCTTTGCAAGAATTTAAGGAATGATGTAGAAAGTATCCCTAGTACGCCAAATTTAGGATGGCTGTGAAACTGAGTTTTAAGTAGAAGCCTTTATTTTAATGCAGCTTGAGTCTTCTGTATATGAAAAGTTTACTAAAAAAACTCTGTTGAATAAAAGATTACAGTATTCTACTGCAAGTTTAGCTCCTAGCTAGCATTTCATGCTGTAGGAAGAGTTGGTGAGCCTCATTCTTTTCATAGTAAGTACATTTTTCACCTAAAATATGTGTGCAACGTCAGGTACAAAGTTAACATTTTTCCTAGCCCTAAAAAATCATTTTAGTAGAAGAACTGCATAGCTATGTTAAATGTCCACTTAGGAAGCCTCCACTGAATTTGTTTTTCATCAGACCCCATAAGGACTGAATATGGCACTCTTCCAAATGCTGCACTATGGGCTGCCCAGTAATACTTGACATTCAGATGAAGGTCTCCAGTTTGCTTCCTGCCGTGCTGAGGGTCATTATTTTATGCTTTGAGTGATTTTCAACAAATATAAATGATTAAGAGAGAGGATTATTTTAATATATGTATTGATTTGCCTTTAATCTTCCATTTGGATATTTTCTGTACACATGCTCAGCTGCAACCGAGTTTGTACATGATAAATGCGAGAATAGTTAAACTTTCTGTACAGATTATGAAAATTGGATGATAACTGATTTTTAGGCCAAATACTATTTCCAGTATATTCCAAAGCATAACACATTCTTGACTTTGTTTTACAAACCAGCAGCTAAATCCATGTCCCACTGTATTTTTATTCATTTTGTAGTCCTATTTATGGTATGCTGTTTGACATTTCAAAATGAAGCAGATGCAGTGTGCTTTGCTATCTGTGGCATGACAATTTCAAGATTAATGTTTCTGGAGGAAAAGTCTGTAACGCATTTGACTTGTGTGGTGATTGCCAATATGAAAACTGTAAAAAAGCATAATGAGTATTTCCATTTGCATTCAAAAGATTATGAAGGCTAAGTAAAAGGGAGCAAAGTACAAAAATTATTCAAATGAAGGTTATTTTTCAGTATTTCACTTGCTCTTAAAAAACTTCTCGTCATGGAAAATAATTCAGATGTAATTAGGAAGATACAAACAGGAGAAAGCAAAGAGAGTTAAAGAGCTAAAAGCTAAAAGTTTATATGGTTAGAGCCTTAGGTTTGCATCTGCCTTTTTAATACCTACACCTCTAGCTTCATTTTTATCACTTGTCTATTATTAAGGTAATGCCATGCTTTTTTATAACAGTGGAGAGGTTTTGTTTACTTGTATTTTTACATCTTAAACCTACCTTCTTTCTAAGGAGGCTGAAGATGTGGGGGAAACAAAAGAAAAAAAAACCCTCAGGAAGCAACAGATTGCCTGTTTTTGTAGAGGCCAGGCTGGGTAATGTCATGAGGAGCCTCTGCCAAAGGAGGAGTATTTTCCCACTGATGGTACGGAGATGAGGACATCTGTTCTGTTCCAGCACACCTGAGATGGGAAAAATGATGGAAGTTTTGGAAGCTGTGATGGTGGGCAGCCACCTGTGCAGATCCTTAGCCAATATTTGTTTAGTATTTCACTTGGAGGAGCTGCAAGATGTTTTTTCTCCCTTTTTCATGGAGGGAACTTTTTTTG